CAATTGCAGTGGACATGTGAATGCTAGCTTTTAGTTTAGTAGCATATGAAGGTTGTCCTCTCCATGTTATAGGTTTGTAACATACCAGTTTACATGTTTCTCTGTTGTCAGTGTGGATAGTGAGTGGGCACATGTGTACATGAGCTTTGCTAGCTTCAGAGAGCTCTGTCACACTCCAGGAACCAAGGAACAGAACTGTCAGATGTCAGGTTTTTTTTCATAGCTAGTGGGCAAGGCCTTCAGAGACAAAGAGACACTGGAAGTGGCAGAGGCGTGGTCCAGCACAGGCCACAGGTCAGAGTTCCCTGTTTTGGGTGAACATTCCTGCAAGCCCTTCCTAGGCAGGGAGCCTGGACACAGACAGGGCTTGCCCACAACACTCATTCAGGGCAAGTGTAGCTAGGACAGGTGAGGCCATGTCATATTGGCTATTCTGGAGAGCCCATTTAGCATAGAACATTCTGGAAGTTGTTAATTGCAGATTGACTGGTAGAGGGTATCTATATTCTCGCTCCCACTCTACTGTTTGTTTTGTGATTGGAGACAGGTCCCATGTAGAGTCCAGCCTGGCCTTGAACTTGATGTATACCTGAAAATGACTACAGTGTGAGCTACCTACCATGTCCAGCTTTAACCTATAGCGTTTAAGAATGGGTTTATATAGCCAGTCACATGAAATGTGTACCTATAGTTCTTTCTGCTCGGGAGGCCAAAGTGGGAGGGTTCTTAGAGGGTAGGAGTTTAAGGCCAGCATGGCAAGGCCTTTATTTCTTTTTATTTCTTTTGTTTGTTTGAAACATGATCTCTCTAAGTAGCCCTAGCTATCCTGGAACTCACTATGTAGTCATGGCTGTCCTGGAACTTGCTAAGTTGACTGGACTGGCCTAGAACTCCCAGAGTTCTGCCTTTTGAGTGCTGTGATTAAAGGTGTGCACCACCATGCTCAGCCCTCTTGTGGCACATTCTGTAATATACAGAGATGATTCCAGGCTGTGCACTTCAGGGCCTGCTGTCAGATGCATATTTTTCTCTAGCTTAAACTAGTAATTATGACTTTAATATAGCATGACCAACTCAGGCACATCAGCAAAAGCCAGTGTCCTTCCTGCTCATGTGGTGAAAGACTTCCTGAGGTTGGCCCAGATGGCAGAGTGGCAATCAGAGTCATCTCTCAAAAGCCACATGGCCCGTACTGAGAAGTGGGCAGCCTTCCCAGGCTGGTCTCCTGGGCCTTTGTATTAAAGCTCCAGCTCCCAGGCAGGCTGGATCCCTCCTGGCTAGGGGTTTTTTGGAAATGGCAGAGGGGGACTTGGAGGGGGACTTGGAGCATCTGCAGGAGGTAAGGACCTTCCTGCAGACGCTGTGTGGTATGCTGCTTAGGCCTCTGAGGCTGCTAGGTGCACAGTGCAGAAGAGGTGTGCTTGGCTTTCTTTCCCTGTTGTGTTATGGCAGCATGTGTTGGAAATGTGACTTGTTGTTAAGTGAGTCTGAGCCAGATTGAGAAAAGGATCATGAACACAGTGATGCAAGCAGGTACGGTGGTGGGATATGAGGGTTTGTTTTGCATATTTGGTGGTGCTGGGTAGTGGTTCTGCACCCAGCCCTTTTTATGGAGTTGAAACAAGGTCTTTCTAAGCTGCATAGGCTGGCCTTGAACTCATTCTGTAGCCTAGACAGGCCTTGAACTTTGCAGGCCCAGCTAACTAAAGTATGTTTTTTAAAAAAAAGCCTCTGCGTTACAGTGTGAAGACTTGAACACTGTGGCATAGTGTAGGTAGCCCAGGCGGTGAGGCCTGCAGGCAATTTCCATTCTCCCCTTCTGTCTTGTCTTGTTGGTGTGCTTCTGCCCTGGGCAGTGGTTTGGGCTGGTGGGTGAGACCTTCCACTGAGGTGGGACGGGCTCTTGCTGGGGTCAGCACCTCATGTTCATGGCAGCACTGCTGATCTGACTGTCACCTGATTTTCTGTTGTAGGCTAGTCTTATTTTAAGGAGATGTATTGGTACTGATAGTGTTTGTCATGTTCTAAGTTGGGACACAGGACACCATACTTGAAATAAAGATGGGGAGTTGATGGCTTAGGATTCTGTATGTAATGAGAGGTCAGGGCAACAGGGAGGCATTTTAAGTATGCAGGGATTTGGTGAATAGAAAAGGAAAGAGGGGGAAAGGCAAGTGCTCTGGGGTGTTAGCATTTGCCCCTGGCCAGTGCCATCTGAGCCTTCCCGGCAGTGAGGGCCATGGTCCTCCCCTCCCCTGTGGGTGGTGGAGACATTGGAAGCTTCTGTATTCTTGGAGATTGTTTGATTGACATGGACAATGTTTTAATTACAGGGTGTAAGATTACCCCCTAAGCTGAAACCGAATGAGGTTGCCAACATCCAGCCTTCTTCTAAAAGAGCCAGGTACGTGCAGCAGGGCAGGCCCCCTTACACTTGCCTGTCTTTTACTCTGCTTTGGAAGATTGGTGCCAACTGTCAAATGTTTCTGAGAGTTTTCATAGTAAATTGTATTTGAGGGGCTGGAGACATGGCTCAGTGGTTAAGAGCACTGACTATTCTGCAGGAGACCTGGGTTCAGTTCCCAGCACCCACATGGTAGCTCACAACTGCCTATAAATCCAGTCCTAGGGGATCTGATGCCCCCTGGCCTCTGTGGGCACCAGGTATGTACATGACACACAGACACACATGGGGGCGGAACACTCATACACATAATCAGGAGTTAAACTGGATCTCCTACTTCCACGGTTGCTCATGACATTACCACAGTTGTTCATTTGAGAGATACTAAGTGATTAAACACTTTTGTTTTTTACTTACTGAAAATAAAAGCTAAAACCATTTTCTAAGGAAAGCATTTCCCAAAACATGTATGAAGCAGCAGCTGCTGTGGGGAGACAGGCTGCCTCTGCCAAGTGCTCTAAGTGTACCTGGGTGCTGGGGCACTCTGAGCTGTCTGTTCTCAGAGAGGCCGCCCTGGGAAAGAAAACCCAACTGTGTGCTTTGCACATTGCCTGCTGATTGGGTGTTAGTACACGTGTACTCTCTGGCTCGTTGGGAGAGAGTGTCACTGTCTCCCTGAGAGCAAAAGCCACAGCGAACAGTAGCCAGCCAAGGAAGGGGTTCTGGTCTCTTCATGACCCTCAGGAGCTCTGGGCTCCGTACTGTACTTGCTGAGAGGGGGCTGTTGAGTGGCCTTTGTGATCAGCATTTCCTCATCTCATCTCTCTCTCTCACTCCCACACCCAGAGCACAGGCTGTAAAACTCAGATTTTAAAAGCTGTTGAAAGTTTTTCCAGACCATCTTATTTCCATAGAAACTGAGAAATAAGATTTGAGTACATTGAAGGTAACTGTACAAGGCCAAAGGCTTTTACTTAAACTGTGCCTTGCAGTGTCTTGATGAAGACAGGGCTAGAAATTTTAACAGTGTAGGCATGCCAGGACACCCACTGTCTGTCCTCATGACTATAACAGCAGAAAGCCACAGTCACTTGAGAGTTTTTTTTTTGAAAAAAACCTTGATGTAAGGTGCTGACTGATTAGACTCAGTTGTAGAGCCCTTGCCCAGTGTGTTGAAGCTCTGGGTTCTGTCAGCCCTGTGGCAAAATATTACATAAATGAAAATACTAAAAATACACTTTATTGTGAAGAGTGGCCACTGTACTGGAAACATAATTGTTAGCATGAATTGTGGCCACTGTGTTGGGAACATATGTATTAAGGTGAAGAGTGACCCCTATACTGAGCACACTGGTAAATCAATGAAACAAAAACTAGTGCTAATACTGCTTCCTTTTAAAGCCCGACTGAACCATAATCACAGGGGAGATTGATAGGAAGAGGAGAAAGTTGGCCTCTTTCCTTACTGTTTTTTTTTTTTGTTGTTGTTGTTGTTGTTCAGGGTTTCAAGTAGCCCAGGCTGGTCTCAAACTCACCATGGAGTTGAGGTTGGCTTTAATTTGATCTTCCTGGCTCTATCTCCCAAGGGCTGGGATTGGAGATGTGCACCTCCATGCCTACCTGAGAGCATCGTTCTTAACAAGAATGATCTGGATGCTTGCTTCTCTTGGATGTTTCAGGTGGCATCCTTTGGGGTGGAACTGTATGTTAACTGGTTTCAAGAGAAAGGACATCATCCATCAGACACCCCCCAAACACTACCACACTCTTAAAGCTTGTTGATTCTGGGTTCCCTAAAGAGCACGTGTTTGAAGTCCTCACTGCCCTGTGTGTTTGCATCACAGAATCGAGGACCTGCCACCTCCCACTAAGAAGCTGAGTCCAGAGCTGATGCCTTACGTGCTTTTCACGGGATTTGAGCCTGTTCAAGTTCAGCAGTACATTAAGGTGAAAACTGTGTTTCAGCAGGGTCCTCTCTGTATTTGCTTTAGGGTTAGCCATTTATTAACATAGCGCTTAGCTGGGAGATGTCACTCGGGTAGAGTGCTTGAGTGGCTTGCATATAGGCACCCTCCTTGCTGAGGTGGCCTTGGCAGTGGATGTTGAATCAGGAACAGCCTGTTACAGCCCCCCAATATTGTGAAGTTTTATTTGTGGTCGCCTTGCTGTTCATTATTAGGTTTTTTTGTTACCATAACAGTCTGGGCAATGCGAATGTTATAAAGACTTTCTTGCCTGGCGTTGGTGGCGCACGCCTTTAATCCCAGCACTCAGGAGGCAGAGGCAGGCAGATCTCTGTGAGTTCGAGATCAGCCTGGTCTCCAGAGCGAGTTCCAGGACAGGCTCCAAAGCCACAGAGAAACCCTGTCTCATTTTTTTTTTTTTAAGATTTTATTTATTATGTATACAACATTCTGCCTCCATGTATATCTGCACACCAGAAGAGGGCACCAGGATCTCATTACGGATGGTTGTGAGCCACCATGTGGTTGCTGGGAATTGAACTCAGGACCTCTGGTAGAGCAGTCGGTGCTCTTAACCTCTGAGCCATCTCTCCAGCCCCCCTGTCTCATTTTTAAAAAAAAAGACTTTCTTTAGTCTTGAGGGCAATAGGCCTCTGCAGGTTCTCTGAGAACATGGTCTGCCCGTGATTAGTTCTCTGGGGCAGAAGGAGGCGACCCTGGGGGGAGGGTGGTGATGATGGGACATTTCCAAATACACGTTTTGAGATAACATTGGAGGGTTGGTGGGATCTGGTAAATTGGTAGTTTTGTTTTGGCGGAAGATGGTCAAAAATTCTCTTGCTATATAAGGTTGATTCATAAACTTTCTACTTAAAAAAATAATTATTTACTTTGTGTGCTCTGTGTGTATGTGTCAGAGGCAGGGTGGCGCATGCGTGCCACAGCACACATCTAGAGAGCATGTGGGAGTCAGTTCTCTCCTTCAACCATGTGGATTCCAGGAATGACTCTTATCATCGGGCCTGATGGCAGCTGCCCTTACCCACTGAGCCATCTCGCCAGAAACCCCCTCTCTTTTTTTTTTTTTTTGTTTTTGTTTTTGTTTTTTTGAGACAGGGTTTCTCTGTGTAGCTTTGGAGCCTATCCTGGCACTCACTCTGGAGACCAGGCTGGCCTCGAACTCACAGAGATCCGCCTGCCTCTGCCTCCCGAGTGCTGGGATTAAAGGCTTGCGCCACCAACACCCAGCCAGAACCCCCTCTTACTTATTCTTTTTAAGGAAGCAGTAACTAATACCGTTGTCATAAATTTAGTACAATTCATTTTTGTGCCCCTGAAGTCTAAGCAGCGCTGTTACATGAGTGTGCCTCAGTCTCCCGGTTATGCCACTGTTCAGATGGAGATGGGGTCCATGTGCTTCTTAGGGATCTATTTCAGGATAGCATATCTAAAGCAGTGAGCCCTGGGGCCTCGGGTTTTTTAGGTTGGAGTTACTGGTTTCTGGAGAATTTGTTTGGACACAAGTTTTTGTGGGGTTGGCTACTGCGGCAGCCATTGGAGGCGCTCCTTCCTCTCGAGGCTTGCTTTTCCCATAATTAATGCAGCTGAGGAAGACACGAGCAAGTCCTGTCCTGGGACTGGCCCTCGTGTCACTTTCTGCTGTCGTTGGTCACCTCTGTGGCGTTTGTGGCTACAGAAGCTGTACACCCTGGGCGGGGAAGTTGCCGAGTCCACGAAGAAGTGCACCCATCTCATCGCCAGCAAGGTGACTCGGACCGTGAAGTTCCTGACGGCCATCTCTGTGGTGAGGCACATCGTGACTCCGGAGTGGCTAGAGGAGTGCTTCAAGTGCCAGAAGTTCATCGGTGAGTGCTGTGCCATGGTGCTTGATTTCAGTGACAACGCTGTGGCCTTTTCTTGGATTTATTTATTCATTTAAGCTCATAAGTTTATTTCCTATCACAGGGATTTCTTTGATTGACATCTTTGACTACAAGACATAAAGATTTAGTCTTTGAGTGCATCAAGGGAAAAGACAAGCTGTGCAGCCATTGTTCTTGGTGCATTTCATTTGGAAATTCGCCTGTAAAACGCAGTTTCCACACTGTAAAGCCTCAGACAGGAGCACCTTGCTGTCGGCATCCTCTCATTGGGGCCCATTGATGAGCAGCCTCTGGAAGCTCTAACAGGATGGTTCTTCCTATTAGTAGTTACCCCTGGGGGCTGGAGTGTAGCTCTGTGGTAGAACACTTATCCTGGTCTTGTATAGTCTGGCTGTTTTCAAAGGAAGTGAGTGAAGCAGAAAATGAGACATGAAATATCTTAGTTTGGGTTACTGTTGCTGTGATGAAGCACCATGACCAAAAAGCAGCTTGGAAAGAAAAGGGTTTAGTTCTGTGCACTTCCATATCATAGTTCAGCATCCAAGGAAGTCAGGGCAGAAACTCAAGCAGGGTGGGAGCCTGTGGAGCTGATGCATAGGTCAGGAAGGAGTGCTACCTAGTGGCTTGTTCCACATGGCTCTCTAAGCCTGCTCTCTTTCAGTACCTAGGACCTGCACTCAGGGGTGGACTGCCCTCAGTGGACTGAGTCCTCCTCCATCAAACACTGTAAAGAAAATGCAGGTGTCTTAGTTAAGGTTTCTGTTGCTGTGAAGAGAACGACATGACCACAGCAACTCTTACAAAGGAAGACATTTAATTGGTAGTGGCTTGCTGTTTCAGAGCTTTAGTCAGTTATTATGCTATGACATGGCGGACATAGTGTTATAGAAGGAGCTGAGAGTTCTCCATCTTCATTGCAGGCAGCAGAAAGTCTGTGTCCACACTGGGTGTAGCTTGAGCAAAGGAGACCTCAAAGCCCACCCCACAATGACACACTTCTCCTCTAAGGACACACCTACTCAATGTGGCCACACCTCCTAATAGTGCCACTCCCTGAGCTTACGGGGACCTATTACAAATTACCACAAGAGGCAGTTTCCCTATTGAGGTTCTATGTTCTCAGATGACTCTAGCCTGTGTCAAGCTGACATAAAAATAGTCAGGACAATACCCAAGTGGCAGGGGGAGTGTGGCTGTGGGTAGAGTCTGCTGCCTCCATGTGGCCCTCTCTGCACAGGGCTGTGCCTTTGAGACCATGCACTGTTCTGTTTTCCAGATGAGCAGAACTATATCCTGCGAGATGCTGAGGCAGAAGTGCTCTTCTCTTTCAGTCTGGAAGAGTCCTTAAAGCGAGCCCACGTTTCTCCCCTCTTTAAGGTATGTTGCAAGGAAAATAAACCCCCATAGAGCTCAGTAGATGTGTCTGACAGTGACCCAGGTGATGGATGGGATCACCCAACTGTCCTTTCCATTTCACGGCTACTCTTTCTGCAAGGGAGTGTGGCACATCCTGAGGAACTTTGATGGGGTCTCACTGTGTAGACCAGACTGGACTGGAGCTTGCTATGTAGACCAGGCTGGCCGCCAATTTACAGAGCTCCTCCTGCTTCTCTGTCTCCTGAGTGTTGGGATTAAAGTTGTGTGCCCCCACACTTGGCCGTAGGAAACACTCTACTCTCATGAAGAAATTGCCACAATGACCTGTAATAGATCTGTCAGAGACGGAGGGGTTCAAGAGTGGGCTGGTGAATAACTGAACTGGTGGGAAACATTAGATTTTTTTGTTTTGTTTTTTGGCTTTTGACAATTTTTTGAAGGTTCCCGCTTGTGGTGTTCTTAATAAATGTCTATTCCACTAGAGAAGGTACTTGGGAAGACACTGGATGAATACTAAATGGAAAATTTAGAAGTCTGTATTTTAAGTATTTGCCAGATCAGAGACTTAAGACAGTTGGGAAGTATTTTTTTGTATCAAAGAACTAAGTAGTCAATAAAAATCATTTGGTCTTTGAACTTCTTGGGAATGATTCGGAAGCTAAGATTCAATTTCACCTCCAGGGGTCTGAGTTTTCTAAATGTTTACCTTTCTCTGTGAGAGTTTTGTAATAAGCCTGGGAACACATCAGTGTCAGTATGGTTTCCTATTCTGTTTGTAGCAGCAGGATGGGGCTGCTGTTCCCCTGCTAGGAAGACAGCTGTGGCCAAATGCCATGCTGCCTTGGAATGTTACAGACTGGCAAATGTGTGCCACCATCCTGCCTTGTCATGGAATGCTTTGGTTCTTGTAGTTGGCACAGCCGTGGCAATGCATTGTGATAAAAATAGCTTGGGTTCTGAGAGAGTGGAACTTCTAGTATTTTTCACAGTGCAGTCAGTAATGTACCTTGGGTTACATGAGATTTAGATGAGTGTGAAGATATGCACCTTTAATTCCGGTATTCAGGAGACAGGGACAGGTGGATCTCTGTGAGTTCCAGGCCAACCTTTTTCAAAAAGTGAGTTCTAGGACAGCTATGCACAGAGAAACACTGTATTGAAAAATGAGGGGGCAGGAGGCAGGCGGGGACCTTACTTGCCTTGGTTTTCCCATTTAATCAACCTTTCAACCTAAGCTAGTACATAGCTGTACTTACATTATGTACTCTCCCTTGCCCCTGACCTAACAGTAATGTATGTGTGTTCTGATAATCTTTGCTGGAAGCAGCAGATAGGCTAAAAGCCATCTTATAAACAAATATCCACCATAAATGTTGAATACAACATTTGGATACTACTGCTTCATAAACAGTCATGTTTGTAATATTGTCTGTTGTCTGGATCATTGCCTTCTGTGATGTTGCTTCTTATGCTGTTCAGTAAAGGGGAGTGGAAAACCGTGGTGAAGGACAGGAACAGGGACAGAGTCACAAGGTAGCCTTCAGGCAGGCACAGGTTCAGACCCACACCATACAGAGACGAGGATGGAAGACACAAGGAAAAAGAAGTAGAGAATTTAAATTCTGGACTTATGTTTGGCTAAATGACACCAAGGGAAGTGTTTTGATTTCTGTCCTTAATGCAACACCAACACATTATTGGACTTGAGTTTGTTAGTGAAGTCTGCAGATTGACCACAGGCAGTTAAATGTGGTTACTTTTACTGACTATGGGCCACATTCCAGCTGGGAAGTGTTCATCTAACTTGCTTTGTGTGTGTCTGGGTAGGTAGGGAACTGTTGGAGAATATAACCTTAAAAGTTCTAGAAAATTAAATATTTTATTAAAAATCTCAGAACTGGATGTGGTGGTTCACACCTTTAAATCCCAGCTCTTGGGAGACAGAGTCAGGAGGATCTCTAAGTGGGAGGTCAGCCTGGGCCACAGAAAGTTCCAGGACAGCCAAGTCTACAGAGAGACCCTGTCTCAAAAAACACAAGAAACTCAGGATCCAGTTTATGAAGTTACAATCTGTTTATTTCTAGACAAAGTATTTCTATATCACCCCTGGCATCTGCCCGAGCCTTGCAACAATGAAGGCCATTGTAGAGTGTGCAGGGGGCAAGGTGCTGGCCAAGCAGCCATCCTTCCGGAAGCTCATGGAGCATAAACAGAATAAGGTGAGAGAACAGAGCCCCAAGAATCCAGCGCTGTCACACGAGGGCATCTTTCCCTCACTCATGAGCTCTCTCTCCTCCTAGAGTCTGTCAGAGATCATTTTAATATCCTGTGAGAATGACCTGCACTTATGTCGAGAGTACTTTGCCAGAGGAATAGGTATGGCTCCCCACGCCTCTGCACCAGCCTTCGAGTGTTCACAGTGGCCTTGTCCTAACGGTTTTGGTTCTGTTCCATTCAGATGTTCATAATGCGGAGTTTGTTCTGACGGGAGTGCTCACACAGACACTGGACTACGAATCATATCCTTTGCATAGTGGGGACAGGCAAGGATGACGGTGTATTTGCAGTTTGAAAAGGGGACACCACGGTTCTTGTCACCTTTTCCTTGCTGTTACAGAATGTGCAGTCAGCAGCCCTTTTGAGAGCTGTCAACAGGTGACAAACTAAGGACCCTTCTGGCTTATTTAGGTGTTCGAGGATTTGACAGTTACACCCCATAGAAAATGATTCAAGCCAGTGCTTGAGAGGTGTGTTCTACACTCCACAGCTGTGAGGTGGGCAATGGCAGAGCTGGGTAGGAGCATTGTGTGAATGACAGATGTGACTGGGTAAGTGAATGGCTAAAGGCTCTTCGGGCTCTCAGAGAATAAGTGAGGCCTGTCGGACAGTTTACAGTCTGTGTCAGAACATCTAAAACAGTATTAGTTTCAGAGGGGTTTCACTCTGTTGCAGCCTGGCCTGGCACTGTATCCCAGCCTGGCTTCAACCTCACAGCAACCCTCCTGCTTTGTCCTTGAGTGCTGCCGTGAGCATTGCAGGCATGGGCCACCATGCCCAGCTGAGGCAGGTACTTTAGTGTGTGATCAGCCCCCATGTTTCATGTTTTGCAGCCAGGTCAGAGTGACATCACCCTTGGTCCTTAAGCTGTGTGGTGTCACCAGCTGAGTGCATTCACCAAACACTTGCTCTTGGCCTCAGAGAGCTTAGTAAAATACGGGCTAGAAGACTCAGCTAGGTGGCACTGGGGACAAAGTGAGGGCTCTGGCAGGGAGCCTCCTGGGTAGCCACCGAGCTGGGGGCAGTGAGTGCTGCAGTGTCTGGTCTATGCAGCATGTCCTCTGTGTCTGCTGCAGGCTGTTCCCAGAGAACAACGGCCCCAAGCTTACTTTCCAGTGGTTCTCCACCTGTGAGTCACCACCCCTGGGAGGGTCAAATGATCCTTTCACAGGGATCGCATGTCAGATATTTACATTATGATTCATAGCAGTAGCAAAATTACAGTTAGGAAGTAGCAACTAAATAATTTTATGATTGGGGTAACCACATCATGAAGAACTACTGTGTTAAAGGTCTTAGCATTAGGAAGGTTGAGAACCACTGCGAGCCTAAAAGTTGCCCACAGAAGACGTTAGGGTGACAGCCCTCTTGAGGACATGTTTTTGTGGTAGCTTTTGGAACATCAGGAGTGTGTATTGGATTGGGCTTTAGCTCTGAACCTTGTGTCAGGTAGAGTGTGTGGGGGAGTTTCCTAAGACCTGGGTACGGAAGTGTGCAGTGGGGCTGACTGTCTTGAATGCAGACGGAGGTGGTCACTAGAACTGCCTCTTTCCCATGGGGACTCTGGCTGGATGGGACCCTGCTACCTTGTGTGTGAAAACCGTTTTCCTCAACAAGACTACATATAAATTTAACTGACAGCCTCTTGTGTGCTGTGAGCCTGGAGCCTGGAGCACAGGGTCGCTGCTGGCAGCGTGCACACCAGGCCTCCCTCCCTGCAGAGGGCGTGTTTTCCAGCTCTGCCTTAGGGAGAAGCCTCTACCAGGAAGACAGATGTAATAACTGACTGCATCGTGTTAAGATGTGTGATCTTATTCTAGGAAACATAAATTATGTTTTGTATTATATGCCTAAGAGCCCACATTAAGTCCTCTGATTAATTTGCCAGGTTTTTATGTGTTTTCAGAAAACTGTATGAAATTTCATCTACAAATAAATTATGTAAATAAAGACTTTGCTGTCTAAATTATGGATGTTAAAGATTTGAGATGTTTTGTACTTTGATTATTTTTATTTCTTACACTTTTCTTTTATATTGATAACTTGCTCACATTTAAATAAATGTACTTTTGAACCAAGAATTGAGTGATTATTTGTAATTTTGTATTCTTTGCATAACTTAAATGACTTTCATCAAACTAGATGTCATTTTGAGAAATTTCATGGCAGAGTTTAACATAATTCTTTATTGATTCTTTGGAAATTTCACACCATGTACCCCAGTCCTGCTCAGCTCTCAGTCCCTCCATATCTGTCCCTCACCCTTGCAGCATGTCCTACTAAAGAACCACCCCCCCCAAAACAATTAATTAAAAACTAAACCAACCAAACCAGAAATCCACATTGCTCCTCCATCTTTCCAGCTCCTCTTCATTCATCCCAGTGGCATTGTGGTGACATTATTTATGATTTATTAAAGCTTGCCTGAATATTCAGAAAGCAAAATAAGCCTCAAGTTATAGAGATCAGGCAGTGGTGGTACACACCTTTAATCCCAGGACTCGGGATTAAGAGTTAGATGGATCTCTCTGAGTTCAAGGCCACCGTGGCATACACAAGAGTAAAGAGTAACAGCTCATGCCTTTGATCCCAGCACCTGGGATCGCACGCCTTTAATCCCAGCATTGGGGAGGTGTATAGAACAGGAGCAGGGTCTCAGATCAGGCATTCGTTTTCCAGCCACGCTGAGGATAAGACACTGAAGTCTCAGTATTCTCCAGCCGTGCTGAGGAGAGCAGCAGTCTGAGTTTTGGTGGAGCTAGGATTGCCTTTCAGTCTGAGGTAGAGTAAACTAGTGACCAGCTGCTTTGCTTTTCTGGTCTTCAGCTTGAAGCTTGAACCCCGATATCTGTCCCCGGGTCATTTATTTATCGTGTTGCATGGTATGAGGAGCTGTTATGTATCGTGTATATATCCTTTTGTCCATTCAGCCCCACATGCAAAGTGTTCATTGCAATGAATCATTCATCGGTCTGGTTCAAGGCCTCTGCCACAGGGTCATCATTGGATCCTCACTAAACTCCGGGATATTCTGTTGTTGTCCCAAGTCATGGAGATCTTGTAGTTACTATTCCACAGGACCAGACCCCTCATGCACTCCAGCAAGTCATAGATGTTAGGGTGGTGGTGTAATTTAAGAAAAGTGGTGTGTGAGAGAAAGCCATGCCACAGGGGTCAAGCAGAGGGTTTTTTATTAGGGAAAGGGAAGGGTGGAGACTGGCGTCTGGAGACAGGAGCAGCAGGAGAGAGAAGAGAGAGAAGGATGGGAGGTGGGCAGGGCCCTTTTTAGAAGGGAACATAGTGAATGTGCACAGGTGGTGCTCTTAGCGGCTGCAGCTGAGGGCGAATCCTGTCAGAACCCCAAGGACAAGCCAGTATAAATGCCGGAATACTAACAGGTGGGCCAACCCAGGCCCAGGATGTGAGTCTGGGTGGTATCTGACCTGGTTGGTCTGGGCCACTGGTACCACTCTCTCAGGCGAGGGGCAGAGCCAGCTCTCCTATGCCCATGCCATCAAGCTCTCCTATGCCTATGGTGAGGGGTGGGGCCATCTCTCCTGCAGCAGTGTCCAGTGAGGAGCAGGTCTGGCTCTTTGAGGGCCAGAGCCAGCTCAGCACAGCCTTCATATTTCAACATGTATTGTTCCTGTGACCCCCTGTGGTAACACGGCCATGGACATATCACAGATGCCAGTTGCAGCAGGAACACAGACCCAGACATGGCCCTTGGCAGACAGCAGAGTTTTTGAAGTAACTTTCGTCCCGAAGAAATAAGTTTTGGTGGTATTACATAAGCAACCACCCTTCACTGGTGTGTTAAGTGGGCTCCAGGAAGTGAGTGGAAGCCTTGGCAATCACTACTTGAAAACTATGAGCCTGTCCCCTGGCTGGGCACAGCCTGCCCCGATGTACTGAGGTTGTACCTCAAAACATGGCAGAGATAGTGCTCTGTGTTGGTTGTCACCATACAGTGCCACGTTTTACAGGACGGACCAGAGTCTTCCGCCTGTTTCCTTGCTAGTCCTGATCTCTGGTGACTTCTTGGTGACCTGATGTGTCTTTGCATGGGCCTGGTTTGTATAGTTATCTGTAGAAAGACTCTTCTGTTGAACTATCTGAGACATTCCTAGTGGCAGCTTTGGTCAAAGCTGGCGGGGTCTTCACAGACTGTCTTGGCATGTCTGCTCTGAAGTTTGTGTCTCTGTCTAAGCAACTTCAGAAGCTCACCACAGAGCTGGCCTTTGATCTGGTCGTTTATTACTATGAAACACTCAAGTGTGGAAACCTAGGTGAGCAGAAGACTGGACATGGGGATAATCTGATTTGCCAGCATGCCCACATGCTGCCCTGTCTTAGACCCCAGAAGAAGGTGTATGTCACCTTGGAATGTCACACATCTGCCACCTGTGCAGGAGACAGGACGTTTATTTAACTAACATAGAAGTATGACTGGCTTGATTAACCTTTCAATTAACAACTCCTCCAAAAGCTGCCAAGAAATAAGCCCTCCTAACTCCAGGAACTGCCTAGAGCCAACTGGCTCACAAAGTTTAACCATGGGTGGGTTTGGGGGGGGGTGAAAAGATGATAAATAAACGGCTTCTTATGAAGTCAGTGAGAAAGTGGTGTTTCTTGAGGAAGAAAGTTGCATCAATTCCTACCTTGTCTGAATAGGTGTTTAGAACATGAGCCACCTACAGGCTTAAGAAGTTTCAGTAGCCATAATGTTTAATTGTAGTGTTTTGTTTTATAATGTAACCGGTATATCCATGAACACTGTCTCAGTTACATATCGTCAGAATTTTTAAAAATTTAGCCAAAACTGCACACCTGTAGTGCCAGAAGCTGGGAAGCTGAGATACAGATCACAAGTTCAAGGTCAGGCTGTTCTGCATAGCCGGTCCTGGGCTCTCCAGGGTTATGTGACGAGATTCTGTCTCAATAAATACATAAGTAAAAGTTTTGTATTTTGCCCACATTGTTTAAAATATAGCTAAGTATTTTCTGATAATTGAGTGTGTCTATTTTTAACTAACTTTGTAACATCCAAGCTTCAATTTCTATCCCAGGCACATTTTAGTGCTCAGTGATAATAAGTACATCTTTTTACATTTGAAGATGAGGGACAGTCACTATGAATGTACTGTCACTTCTTTTTTTTAAATACATCTGGTTGGCCAGGCGTTGGTGATGCACACCTTTAATTCCAGTATTCCGGAGGCAGAGACAGGTGGATCTCTGTGAGTTCGAAGCCAGCCTGGTCTACAGAGCGAGTTCTAGGATAGGCTCCAAAGTTATACAGAGAAACCCTGTCTTTCGGAAAAATCCAAAACAAACAAACAAACAAAAATTCTAGTTACATTTGAAGATGGTGAACAGTCACCTCGAGTGTACTGTGTCACTTCTAATTCTATGTTTTCCAGCACTGGCCAATAGTAGTAGAAGGAAGGTGAGTAACCGTGCTCCTGATGTGTCCAGGCCGTTTCAGGATGGCCTCATTGTGTCCTAAGTCAAAACTGCTTCTGCCTACATGGCAGCATGTGGCTCGTGTGGGTGCTTGGTTTGGAAACAAGGAACACCGTGGCTCTCTAGGAGTCTGGGATGTCAGGAAACATTATCACACACCGCCAGCAGGTATTTGACAGTTTAAAAAAGGGCTTCAGTTGTGTAGTAAAGTTCCTAGTAGGCGACACACGTTATATACTTCCTTTAAATATTTTGACTGGAAAGTGGAAAAGTGTTCATCAAAAGCGAACTATCCCAGGTTCCTTCTATGTGAGCACAGCTCCACTCCACAAAGCACTCACATGGGATTTGTGTTGAATGAAGAAAAAATAAGTATTAAAGTTCTTATGCTGGAAGCCGATGGAGAGTCTGTTCTTGGGGAGTTTCTGCCCCCCACCCTCCACCTCCACCCCAGGCTTTCAGGCCCCCTTTTGTGCTTGCTGCCCGCCCTTGTTCACTGTACCTACTCCAGTGCCAATGACTCCCATTATCAACACCTCAGTGCTTCCCTCATCAGTGTTAACAGGAATTCCGTCCTTCACGCCAGAGTTTCCCCCCTCCAGCTCATAAGCAGTTTCCCTGAAATAAGATTCTGTGTGTCCTCCAGTCAGATCTCACTTGTGACACACCCCCTCCACCTTTCCTACCACTCAGCCACTCCTCTGCCTCTTTGGCTAATTCTAATCAAAATGCCCAGTTCCTATGTGACAGGCTTTTCTGAATGCCGAGTCTTGTGAAGCCTTCCCTAAACCTTCCAAGTGCCCCCTCCCCCACTGCTGCTTGTTTTCTGTGCTCTCTCTGGTAGGCTGGAACGGGCCCTGGGAGGCATGCAGTTAGTTGTCTGTTGCAATCTGAGTTCTCCTCTCCTCTACTTTGGTAAAGCCTCAGAGATAGGTTAGACCTTCTGTGGGTGGCAGACTAGCTTGCGGGAATGTCTGAGTTTATTCCCTAGAACCAATGGCTGCCACATGGCATCAGTGGCGTATGGACTCACAGGCATGCATAGTGAAGGCTAAGTCCTTGAAATGGTGAGTTTATCCTGGGTTATTCAGGTGGTCCTGTCTGACCCTGTGAGGCCCAGGAAAGGGGTCCAAGTGTTAGTGTCTGGATG